CCACCCTTAGAGGAAATCTCCAATTGAATCCACATTCCAACCCCATAAGCCATCTTCCTCTGACCCTTCCTTGTGTGAGGAACAATACTTTGTTTAGGATATAACTCTAAATTTCCGGCCCTTTGTTACCACTGCTGCTGTTTGCCTTATACTGTATGTAAATTTAGCTGTTTTTTTTTTTTTTTCTTTTCAGCTGGCTGAGAGTAGACAGAGATTTGTGGTGGTGGTGGTAGTGGTGGTTGGAAAGTTCATGAAGAGATACAGATGTCCTTGAGACAGAGGGGTTGAGTCCTAGATTCATTTACTTCTCATTTCAATCCAACAACATGGCAGATACATTTAAATAATTTCCTAATATTCCCCTTCTAAGAAAATACAAAAGTAAGAAAAGAGGTATATGGGGAAAAGTCAAGCCAAGACAACCTGATAGGGCAACATGGACTTGTAGGCTGGATTTATTGCTATGACCTTAGTAAGATCACACAATAGCTAGAGGGTTGTAGGGCTGTGGAGAATTTCCACATTTGGGACCATCAGACCACTTTGTCAGTACTCGGATTTGAACTCAGAGCTTTAAGTTTGCTAGGCTGGTGCCTTACCACTTGAACTCCCAGTAGGACTACTTGCTTTGTACCAATATAGTAAATAAAAAATGATCATGGGCTGGGCATCAATGGCTCACAGCTGTACTCCTAGCCACTCAGGAGGTTGAGATCTGAGGGTCATGCTTTGAAGCCAGCCCAGGCAGGAAAGTCCATGAGACTCATATCTCCAATTAACCATCAAAAAATTGGAAATGGAACCATGGCTCAAGTGGTAGAGCTATAACCTTGAGCACAAAATCTCAGGGACAGTGACCAGGCCCTGAGTTCAAGTCCCAGGATGGGCACACACACATACACACAAACATATACATATACACATTCAATACAATCATGGAAGTAGAGCATATTTTCACAGATTTATTAATAATTAGAAGTAATATTTTTCTGTGAACATATCCTTTGTTCATCAAAAGGATGTTCTTCCTCATTCATTTATTCATTTAATTTATTGTGCAGATTCTAGGGCTTGAACTCAGGGCCTGGGCACTGTCCCTAAGCTTTTTCGCTTAAGGCTAGCTTCACTTCTGGTGTCTGGTGGTTAATTGGAGATAAATGTCTCACGGATTTTCGTGCCCAGGCTGACTTTGAACTGCAATTCTCAGATCTCAGCCTCCTGAGTAGCTAGGATTACAGACATGAGCCACCAGCACCCAGCTCAACATTTATAATATTGATACGTGCATTATTTATTTTGCTGGAAGGAGTAGAGAGATTTTGCTTCCCTATCTTCCCCTTTCCAAAGGCCTGTCCATTTTCTAGTGACATTTATTTGGTTAATCTTTCCCCTGCTATTTAGAAATATGGCTCACATTCTATGTTCCCAGATATATTTGGGTCTATTTCTGTAGGCTATATTGTTTCATTGATTTGTCTATTCTTTCCTCTAGTAACAACTAGATTTAATAACTATAGAGATGGCTTACATTCTCTAATTGGTTGTCTCAGTACATTTAAGAGGATATGATATCAAAAGGGTATTATCTTCAGAGCAGAGCAGATTGCTTTCAGATGTAAAGCAAAATTACAAAATTATAGGTTATGATGGAGGCAATGAACAAAGAGAGAGTCCTGTAAGAAATTCAGCCAGTGAATTAGAAGATCAGATGGAGCATTCTGGGAAAAGAAGGGATGGAGAATATAAGGGAAAATGGTATGAGACTTGGAAAGATAGCTTAGGATAGATGGACAGATGTGTGGGTGGATGGATGGATGGATGTTTGGATGTTTGGAAGGGTGGGTGGATAAATGGAGGAATGTATGGGTGAATGGATGGATGTGTGGGTGGATGCATGTGTGGGTGGGTGGATGGATGGACAGGCCTAGACAAAGGAAGTAAGAGTTTACAAAAGAAGCCCGGCACTGGTGGCTCATACCTGTAATCCTAGCTACTCAGGAGGCTGAGATCTGAGGATTGCAGTTCAAAGCCAGCCTGGGCAGGAAAGTCATGAAACTCAGAAAACAGGCAGTAGCGCAGTGACTAAAGTAGTAGAGCGCTAGCCTTGAGCTGAAGAGCTGCGGGACAACGCCCAGGCCCAGAGTTCAAGCTCCATGACCAACAAAAAAAAAAGTAAAAATAAAGAGTTTACAAAAGAAGAAGCAAGAACAAGAAAGAGGAGACATAACAACAACAACAAAAGGATTAGAATAACCCTCTTACTAGCTGAAGACAGATTCTTGTATTTAGAATGAGGAGAGTATCATTGGCCAGACATATTCATCAGTATTCATCTCATCCCAACTGAAACCAGGCTGTGGAATTGTCTGGCAGAGCTCCCATGAACTTCATGTGGTTTAAATCAGGCTCCAGGCTTCCCTTCCTCCAGCTCCCACCACCAGCTCCTGGCTCCATTGACTGTAGTTTCCTCCAAGTATTCTGAGCTTCCAGAGATAATAGAACAATGCTGTACCTCTTCTTTTCCCTCCTCCTACAGAGTCTCCTCTTCCTCGACTAACTGGGCTCTTCAGAGCCCTGACTTAGTCCTCTCTATTCTCTCCCTGGTGACCTCATCAGATCTTGACTTCATAGGCTTGCACACAGCTCCCCATCCTGCACAAGTTGGAGTGTGTGTTTCTTGTGCTTGAACACATTACCCCTCACTTTAGCTAGTGTCTCCTCATCTCTTGACTCTTAGTTGGAAGACTCTAGGATTCCCCCCACCCCCATTCAAGTCCAGATTAGGAGTTCTTCCTGTGTGCTGCATAATAATACATTATTTATTGAAACTTCAGAGAAGCCCTCTGTGTTCTTAAGAGTCCCACTTTTGGGTATACAAATGGGCTATGAATTTTCTGAGTGGAACTCAGCTCTCTGCCCCCTCCCCTGGCCACTCCTCCCTTCGGAGGCCTCTGTATTGTTTCCTGTGGTTGTCATAACAAATCACCAAAACTCAGGGGCTTAAAACAACATGGGTTTATTGTCTTACAGTTCTGCAGGTTAGAGGTCTAATGTGGTTCTCATGGGGCTAAAATCAAGGTGTCAGAGAGGGCAGGTTCCTTCTGTTTCCAGAGACACATGTTACGCTCATTGCAATGATATCCATGTTGAAGTGTTTAGGGGAAGTACCTTATGTGTGCTATTTAGTTTGAAATGCATTTCAAACAACATGGACTGTCGCTGACAAAAAGAATGGATGGATAGATGGACATGTGATAGAATACGATATTAAAATATTAAGGATATGGGGCTGGGAAGGTGGCTCAGTGGTAGAGCACTTGCTTTGCATGCTCGAGGCCCTGGGTTTGATTCCTCAGCACCATATAAGAAAAAAGCCAGAAGTGGCGCTGTGGCTCAAGTGGTAGAGTGCTAGCCTTGAGCGGAAGAGCTGAGGGACAGCGCTCAGGCCCAGAGTTCAGGCCCCACGACCAGACCCCCCCCAAAAAAATAATAAAATAAAATAAAATATTAAGGATAAAATAGTAATGATTTCAAGGCTATTCATTGTCTTATTATGTTTCATTTTCCATCTCCTCTTTTTTGTCTATCTATCTATCATCTATCCCTTTTTGGTTCCAAGGCCTGGACACACTGTTACTTAGCTTTTTACTACTTGATCCACACCTCCAATTATGGCTTTTTCCTGATTAATTGGAGATAAGAAATCTCATGTATTCTTTGCCCTGGCTGGCTTTGAACCTGGATCCTCAGATCTCAACCTACTGAATAGCTAGGATTACAGGTGTGAGCCACTGGGGTCTAGCATGATTCTTTATTTTTATGTTTGAAAATTCTCTTAACAAAATGAAAAAAAATCCACTGATATTATTACTCAGATAAAACCAGTTTTTATTCATTGATCTTTATCTAAATAAGTGCCAGTGGTTCCCAACTGGAAGGGATATTTAGTACCAGCTGAAGTTGTTTTTGGTTGTTTTGACCAGGGTGATAGTACTGGCATCTAATGGGTAGAGGCCAGAGAAGCTGTTAAACATTTTCCAATGCCCAGGACAGGTCTTACTACCAAGAGAAATACACCCCAGATGTCAACAGTGCCAAGATAAAGACCCCTAGACACATTTAGGTATCTGAATATGTATGTTCATATACATGAATATGTGTATGTGCATCTTTTACTTTTACATATATTTAAATAAGATTCACAGCTTATCTGCATTTTTTCAGAATGCAGTTATTTCCCTAAATAATGAAATTGCCTTTCACAGTGTCCCCCGCCTCTTTTTTTTTCCTGTGCTGGTCCTGGGGCTTGAACTCAGGACTTGGGCAATGTCCCTGAGCTTTTGTGATCAAGGGTAGCACTTTACCACTTGAGCCACAGTTCCATTTCTGGCTTTCTGGTGATTAATTGTAGATAAGAGTATCACAAGCTTTCCTGCCGAGGCTGGCTTTGAACCATGATCCTCAGATCTCAACCTCCTGAATAGCTAAGATTACAGGCATGAGCCACTAGTGCTGGGCTAAGGTGTTCCATTTTGATGCTGATTGTAGATCGTTAGCTGTGGCTTACACACAGCTCAATGTGGGTGTTCTAGGTGGTTTCCCATCCCTAGAAAAGTCATGCTGTTCTTGTCAACAGAGTTTCTGTTTTGTCCTGTGAAGGTTCCTTAGGAAGGAGGCTCACAGATTGCTCTTAGGACCAACTTGGGTGTTGGCATCCTCTGGGACTTAGACATTTGTTCTTGGAATATCCAAGGATTGGCATTTTTCTTGGCAGCATTTTTTTTCTTCTAAAAGCCTGCAGTTAGCAGAGGCAGCAACCAGGAGTATGGCATCTCACTAGCCCTGGCCCAACATTGGGCAGCCCAAGCTGTGGGTCTTGAGGAATAGGAGCCATGTAACTGAGTTTTTGTCTTCTTTCTCCCCTTGCCACCTGCTGTCCAAATCCTTCCAAGTTTCCAGAGACACAACCTGCCTGATCAGTCTTCTTCTTTCAATTATAGGCCTTTCCTGCTGAGGAAAAGAGAAAAAGAGGATGGACTACAGCCCCCAAACTTCGCTAGTCCCATGTGGACAAGACAAATATATTTCCAAGTAAGATTTTTTTGGGTGTGGGCTGGCATTGGGGCTTGATTTCAGGGCCTGGGTGCTATCCCTTAGCATTTTTGCTCAAGATTAGTACTGCTGTACCATTTGAACTACACCTCCACTTCCAGCTCTTTGGTGGTTAATTGGAGATAAGATTCTCATGGACTTTTCTGTCCAAGCTGGCTTTGCACCATGATCCTCACATCTCAACTTCCTGAGTACCTAGGACTATAGACATAAGCCACCAGTGCCTAGCTTGGCATAGGGCTTTTTTGGGGGGAGGGGTGTAGGGGTTTGTTGCTGTTGTTTTTTCCTGCTGTAGTGTTGTGTCCTCAGCGCTAGACTCATGGTAGAACTTTATAAATGGGAACCATTGGAAGAGGAGTGGCCCTCATGCATCAGAGAGGATGTGAGAAGGATCAAAATAGCTGAACTTGCAGCCAGGCTGCAGCTGTAGATAAAAGCATGCCCCTAAGCCTAGCAAAGGGAAGCGAAGAGAAGCAAGACAACAGTACCTTTTAGGGGCTTAACTAGAGGTGAATCTTGGAAAGTTTCCCTAAAGAGGAATTAGCCGATGGCTACTTGCTATGACCTGAATGTCCACCTCCCCTCAATATTCATATGTTGAAATCGAACTCTCAAGGTGATGGTCTTAAGAGAGTGGGCCTTAGAGGAGTGATTAGATCATGGGGAAGGAGTCCTTGCCAGTGAGGTTAGTGCCCTTTGCAACGAGGCCTGAGGGAGCTGCTTGAGGGATGCAGGGAGAAGGTGTTATCTGTGAGGAATTGGCCCTCATCAGATACCAAGTCTGAATGAAGCACCTTGACCTTGTACTTCCCAGACTCAAGAATTGTGGAAAGTGAATTCTGGTTGTTTATAAACTCTTCAGTCTATGGTGGTGTTTGCTTTTGTCCCTCCCCCCATGCCAACAGCCTGAATGGATTAAAACACTGATTACTATGTAATGGGGAAGGGTGTGTGTCTTGCTGCAGTAGTGTTTCCTGGGGCTGGTTCTTGCTAAAATTGGGCATAGAGCTGGGTGCTGATAGCTCACATGCCTGTAAATCCTAGCTACTCAGGAAGCTGAGATCTGAGGATCACCATGGTTCAAAGCCAACCCAGGCAGCAAAGTCGGTGAGACTCTTATTTCCAGTAAACCACCAGAAAACCGGTAGTGGTGCTGTGGCTCAAGTGGTAGAGCACTTGCCTTGAGCTGAAGAGCTCAGGGACAGTGTCCAAGCCCAGAGTTCAAGCCCTATGCCCAACAACAACAAAAAAAAAGTAAAAATAAAAATAAAAAAACTGGGCATAGATGCCTTCTGAATGGAAGGAAGAGGTTCGTTGCTTTCTGTGCATTCATGCCTCCACTCGGAGTTTTGCTTTATTTTTTTTGCTAATGTGACAGAATTGAGCCAGAATTGATTCCTCCTGCCTGCCATATTAGAGAGCCAGGGCTTCACAGGCAAGCACCCTACCTGTGAGCTACATCCCCCTCCATTCCCCCGTCAACGTTTTTTCCATTGTAAGTTTGAGAATATATTTTTATGCCCAGCACAAGAATTTTACATATTGGCTGTTCCCCATCTTAAACAACCACAAAACACAAGTAAACAACAACAACAAAACCCCCACAAACCAAAACAAAACCCCTTATGTTTAGTTTATCTGAGACTATAAATTGTTTGTAGACACACCTGCAGATACAGATGGGGGCTGTATGAGATTCAGAACATTCTCATCCTTTTGTCCTTCCCCAGGGACTCCACCAGCCAGGACTTTCACATCCTGGTTTCTGCAGCATGTTCATCTTCAGTTTTAAGTCATTTGCAGTCACATTCTTTGCTAATTCATTCCAGCTGTGTACAGTTGATGCCTTCATGTAGGTTTAGCTTGTCCTGTGTTTCTGGGAAATTCCAGTGGATTTTTTTGACTTCTTATGTGGTTTGAAGGACTGAACTCTGTCACCCCCTACCTGGGACCCAGTGAAAGCACACGGCTGGCAGCATCTTCAAGTTCCTGCACCTCCCCAAGAAGTACAGCCGCATGCACTTTTAGATACTTGGAAAGCCCCTCTATCAAGAATAGTACAGTGCCAGGGCCCAAGCCCTCTCCTGCTCACTTTTCCTTAGATGACTCATTTTCTGAATCCTTGTGCCTGTTGCAAAGTTTATACAAAAGGCATTGTACAATATATTCTCTTCAGGCTGGGAATGTGGCTTAGTGGTAGAGTGCTTGTCTAGCATGCATGAAGCTCTGGGTTTGATTCCTCAGTAACACATACACAGAAAAGGCCAGAAGTGGTGCTGTGGCTCAAAGAGGTAGAGTGCTAGCCTTGAGCAAAAGAAGCTCAGGGCAGTGCCCAGAACCTGAGTTCAAGCCCCAGGACTGGCAAAAAAAAAAAAAAAAAGTATGGTACAATATGTTCTCTTTGCTGTCTAGCTTTTTTTTTTTTAACAGTACTAGGGATTGAACTCAGGGTCTTGTGCTTGCTAGGCAAGTACTCTCCAGTTTGAGCTGTCTTCCGCCTCTCCTCTTTCTCCCTCTTCCTCTTCCTCTCCTTCCCCTCCTCTCTCTCTCTTCCTCTCTCCCCTCTCCCTCCCCCCTCCCCATCTGCCAGTCCTGGGACTTGAACTTAAGGGCCTGGGCACTGTCCCTTAGCTTTTTCCATTCAAGACTGGCCCTCTACCAATTGAGCCACAGCTCCACTCTGACATTTTGACAGTTAAGAGATAAAGACTCTCACAAACGTTTCCGCTGGAGCTGGCTTTGCACTGTGATCCTTAGAGCAACTTTTCCTGAGTAGCAAGGATTACAGGCGTGAGCTACTGGTACCCAGCTGGTGGGGGAAGATGGTGATGAGATGGTTTTGATGGAACTTTGTATGTGCACACACCTGGATGGATACACCTGCCCAAGGGCAGGCTGGCAGTGAGAAATGGGGAGCTGTATGACCTCCATTGAGAATGTTGTCTTCTTTCTGACAGGAATGAACTTCTCCTGCATCTGAAGACCTACAACTTGTACTACGAAGGCCAGAACCTGCAGCTCCGACACCGAGAGGTGCTGTGACCACCCCCCCCCCCCCCAGAGTAGACTGGGCTGTCCCTAGAGGGCAGGAGCCTTCTAGTCCTTGTGTCTTAGGTTCCCACAGTCCCTGACTCTTTTTGCTATAGCAAACAGCCTCACTTAAGACTCCAGTGGGAGTCCCTGGGTGTGGGCCCGGTTTCGTTCTGGAGAAGATGAATTTCTGTTCTCTGCTGTGGGAGTGTAACTAGGCAGCAGAGCCTCACAGGGGCATGTCCAGGGGGAGAAGATGTTGTCCATGAAGGGACTCTCTCGATGCCCAAGCAGCTGTCCTCTAGTTGGGCAGTGACTGTTTTGTACTCATCTGGACCTAAGTTTTGTCACTGTAGTGACTGCCTTACACAAACTCTGGGATAACGTGAAGCTTTTCTCCCTAACTCTGGCCCTGACTGCTTTTTGTCAAAATGCTCCCTGCTGTCCTTCTGGCTTTCCCTGTCCCTGTCCTGACACTGAGCTTATCCTTCCTGTATCTGTTTCTGGAGAGCCAGTGGATCAGATAGATAGTGGTGGAGTAATTTATACTCAAGTGTTCTTGACTGATAAGAAGGCCTGTGGAATAACCCCTCTCAAACACATTTTCAGGTTATCAATTTTCCGTGGCAATTGAATCCACAGGAAGAGATAGCAGATGGTGGTGGAATTTCAGCTGCAAAGGCAGACTGTTTGAAGATGGTAGAGGGGATGCTGTGGGGTAGGCTGTGTACCTCAAAATGTAAGCTTTCCACTTAGGCCAAGTCTTCTTGTGGGTTAAGTCTACCCTGCAATCACACAATGTGTACTGATGCCAGGCCTGGCCTCTGGAAGGGCTGTATAAATCGTCTGTGCTTTCACAAAGCCTTTTCCCCAGAATCCCCAAATGCCCTTCCATTCTTCCACCTCCTTTTGCTCCCTGCTCCCAGGGATATGCCTTTGGTCCAGGTTGGTTGCTCATGGGGAAGATATCATTTTACCCCAGGGCTGGGGGAGGAGGGAGGCTTGTCCTAAAGTGGTGACTATGGCCAAGTCTCATACCTCTGATGCCTGTCCATAAACATGGGTCCAGAGATCTGGAAGAAAGAAAGCTGGCCCTTTTAGACATTGTCCTCAAAACTTGTAATCATTAGTGATTGGGAAGGAACAAGACTGTGATCCATAAAATAGCTCTCCTGAGTAGGTCCTGTGGAGTCACTTGTGAGAGTGCTCTACTGTGGAAGGGCCAGAAGCGCCATCCACATCTCTGCGCTAGGACGTAGCCATGTCCCGAGGCGAGCTTCACATTTCTCTTCTTGTTTAGTCAACAACCTTTGAGTACAAATCTGCGAATCCCTCAGGATTTAGGCTCCTCTTGGAGTCATAATATAGCATATCACCTTCTTACAGGCGCTGGGAAGTTCTGCTAAGAAATTTGATTAACACTGCCTTTCCCAGATCATAACCACTTGACATCCTTTTAAGGCAACAGTTCATCTGTTGGAGGAGGTGGTGTTTGTTCTGCAAATAAACTTGAAATATTGCTTTAAATTCCCTTCACCCAGTATAGCTAATGACATATTATTTTCCAGAGCAAGGGAGGGGTAAGTAGCTAATGCAAAGATCCAATTCCTGATTCGATTAGTATGGCTAGTAAGGTATTCTGGATTGTTATTATTATCATTATTATTTTGACAGAACTGGGGTCCTGTCAGGGCCTTGTACATTTTAGGCAAGAGCTCTACCATTTGAACCATACTCCAGTCTTTTCTTTTGTTTCAGTTTTTTTTTCAGATAAGGTCTGAAAGCCCTTTTGCCCAGTGCTGGCATAGGTTATGATCATCTAATTTAAGCTTCTCTTATTTATGCTTTCCATATAGCTGGGATGACAGTGGGTGTCCAATACTCAATTTCTTTTATTAGTTGAGATGGGAGTCAGGTTTTTTGGCCTGGGCTGGCCTCCAATCACAATCCTCCAGATCTCCACCTCCCTAGAGTACCTAGGGTTATAGGTATGAGCCCCCTTGCCCAGCTATCTTCTGACTTTTTTTTTTTTTTTAAAGTACTCAGTATAAAAACAACAAGAAAGACTTGACAAATTGTACATGCATGCTTGAATTTTACAGCAACCATCTTGTTTTGTGGTGCCGGGGATCAAACCCACAGCTCTGTTCATGGGGGATAAGTGTACTACCACTAACTGAGCTACACTCCCAAATTCTTCATAGCTGCCTTTGTGTTGACTTTTAAGGTCAACTTCTGCATGTCAGGGAACTTTTTTTTTGTCAGTCATGGGACTTGAACTCAAGGCCTGGATGTTGTCCCTGAGCTTTTTTGCTCAAAGCTAGAACTCTACCACTTTGAGCCACAGCATCACTTCCAGTTTTCTGGTGGTTAATTGGCAACTGGAGTGTCATGGACTTAACTGTCTGGGCTTGCTTCGAACTCTGATCATCAGATCTTAACCTCCTGAGTAGCTAGGATTATAGGCATGAGCCACCGGTGCCGGGTATCCGGGAACTTTTTAGCAGAGTATGCCTTGGGGCTAGGGCATATGTGAATGTCATTCACATCCTGTGCCTACAATCCCTGTACTTTCAGCTTGAACACATGAAGGATGTCATCTTTGTGTGTGTATGTGTGTGTGTGTGTGTGTGTGTGTGTGTGTGTGTGTGTGTGTGTGTGCGTGCACACGCACACGTGTTGTCCTGGGGTTTGAACTTTGAGCTTGGGCACTGTCCCTGAGCAATTTTGCTCAAGGCTAGGGCTCTACCACTTGAGCCACAGCTCCACTTTTGCCTTTTTTTGGTAGTTTATTGGAGATAAGAGTCTTGCTCTGGCTGGTTTCAAACCATGATCCTCAGATCTCAGCCTCCTGAGTACTAGGATTACAAATGTGAGCCACCAGTGTCTGGCTGAGGATGTCATCTTTTGTACCCAGCAGGCTTTGGCAAGGGCTTTTCTGGGTTCATCAGATGGATTGCTTCATGGCAGGAAGAAGATGAGTTCATTGTGGAGGGGCTGCTGAACATCTCCTGGGGGCTGCGCCGTCCCATCCGTCTACAGATGCAGGATGACAACGAACGCATCCGCCCCCCTCCATCCTCTTCCTCCTGGCACTCTGGCTGCAACCTTGGGGCTCAGGGGTGAGTCAGGAGAGGTGGGATGAGGGGGGGACCAAAGTACCTGGGGGCTTCTGTATGTTCTCAAGCGGTAAATGCCATGGGCTTCCAGCCAGCTTGATCCTGGCTCCTTTGCCCACCTGCTTTGCCTTGTGATGAGGAGCAAGGGGCCAGCAATGGAGTAACTGGATCTCAACCTTTCTGCACAATTATGGATGGAGGGAGGAGGGAGAGGAGAGGGAGGAGGGGAGGTGCTGAGGGGGAGGGTTGTCAAGGACAATAGTGTGTTCTCCCTTGTGGAAAATTCCAGTCTCTGGTTGTGTTGCTAGTGGCTTGCTAGGCCAAGCCTGCAGACTCTCCTCTCTCACCCCTCCCCAGGACCACATGTCCTAGGACGCCTGCCCCCATAGGACACTGAGAGAGCTTCAATCTTCTGACCTGACACTGGCACTCTTGGGGAGAATCTCTAAGGTCAAAGGAACATTTCTTCATCTGAGACACCCCTTAGAGGTCAGCCACGGGCTGTTCTCCACCTGCAGTCTGGGAAGTCCCCTCCTCTGATCCCCGCTGGGAGGCATGAGGAGACTCTGTCTGCTCCTCCTCAATCCATCTCATGGCTACATCAGAACTAGCTCAACCCTGCCATGATCAGAACTAACTCAATGTAATCTTGCCAGAACCAGCTTACAAGTTGTTTTTGAGAAACTGTCACCCCTGGGATAAACCAAAACTCAAAACATCCATGCTCCACCTGATAAGAGGATTGTAGGGCTGGGAAGGTGGCTCAGTGGTAGAGAGCTTGCCTCGCATACATGAGGCCCTGGGTTCAATTCCTCAGCACCACGTAAGCAGAAAAAAAAAAGCCGGAAGTGGAGCTGTGGCTCAAGTGGTAGAGCGCTAGCCTTGAGCTGAAGAGCTGAGGGACAGTGCCCAGGCCCAGAGTTCAGGCCCCATGACCGGACCCAAAAAAAAAAAAAAAAAAGAGGATTGTACTCCTGACAGGAAGGCTTGCTGGCATAAATAAAACCAAATTCTCCTACTTCTCTGAATGACATTTGGTTTCTCATCAGTCTGTTTTCCTGTAACAAAACAAATAACTAAATGCATCACCTAATAAGGTGTGCTCTGTGTGTGTGTGTGTGTGTGTGTGTGTGTGTGTGTGTGTGTGTGTGTTTTAGGGACTTTGGGTTTTTGTTTGTTTCTTCTTGTTTTTCTTTTTCTTGCACTAGGCATTAAACTCAGGGCTGTTTGCTTTCTAGGCAGGTATTCTACCACTTGAGCCATGATTCTAGTCCCTGCTTCATTTTTGGTGCCAGTACTAGGGTGTGAACTCAAGGCCTGGGTTCTTTCCCTTAGCTTTTTTTGCTCAAAGCTGGTAGTGCTCTGCCACTTAAGCCACTTGCAGCTCCGTTTGCAGCTTTTGGGTATTTAATTAGACATTTTCTGCTTGGGTTGGCTTCAAACCATGATTCTCAGATTTCAGCCTTCTGAGTAGCTAGGATTCCATAGGTGTGAGTCACTGGTGCTGGGCTTTCCCGCCTCTCTTTGGGTTGTTTATTTTGGAGGTAGGATCTTGTTTTCTGCCTGGGCCAACCTGGACTGTGTTCCTCCTACTTGTGCTTCCCTGTGTCACTGGGGATGGTTGAAGTGCACCACTGCACCCAGCCACTGTGCTTCCCCGTAGCTGAGAAAACAGGTGCACACTACTGCACTCAGCCATTGGTTGAGATGGAGTCTCACAAACTTTTCTATGTCGACCAGCCTGGAACAGCATTACCCTGATCTTCACCTCCTAAGTAGCTAATATTACAGGCTTGAGCTACCACACCCATCCTGGACTTGGATTTTTAGGATCAAGTGACTGGCTTTGTTCCCTCTCAAAACTTGCTGATGTTGGCTGCATTCAGGCCCAAGCTTGGGTGGAGTGTGCTGGCCCCTGCTTGGCCAAAACCACAGTGATGTGTTCTTTAGTTTAAAAAAGGGTTAGGCCATTTCTGTTGGCCACATGGAACATTTTGTTAAATTCCGTTGCCAAATCTATCTTTCCCTACATTTGAGAGAGTGACCCTGGGGCTTATCTGGGTTCCTTTGCAAAGAATTTATGAAGGACTGGACACTGGTGTCTCATGCTTGTAATTGTAGCTACTCAGGAGGCTGAGATTTGTGAGGATTATGCTTCAAAGCCAGCCTAGATGGACAGTCCATGAGACTCTGATCTCCAATGAATCACCAAAAAACTGGAAGTGGCACAGTGGCTCAAAGTGGTATAGTGCTAGCCTTGAGCAAAAGAGCTCGGGGACAGCTCAGGCCCTGAGTTCAAGTCTCATAACCAACAACAACAATAAAAAAGAATTTATGGAGAAAAGTCTTGGCCCATCTGATTGGGCAACCTTTTTTGGCCAACTCCTAACTTTATAGCTTTAAGCATTTTCACCATGCTTGATTTCCAATGGGCCAACCCTGCTTGAACCTGAAAACTCCATCGTTACATTCTATTTCCTAAGTGAGAGGACTTTAAAAATTCCATTTGATCATGGGGCCTTGGGCTGGGCTGCTGAGGGGCCCTTCAATCTGAGCACTTGTTTATTCCCGTTTGCCTGTGCCATCAAGCTGGTCTTGATTGGCTCTTGAAGTCTACAAATAAGTCGGGAGTTTTCAGGAATGTATCCTGGATGCCAGAGAAACCTGAGTGCTTGTATCACTGTGTTCAGAAGGATGCCGACGCCAGAGGGCACTGGACCAGAGAGTGGAATATGGCTGCCTTGGGTATTAAGAAATCATCACAGATCCTGAGAGGATGCATTCTGGGGTTCTTAAGGCAGAGAGTTACAGTACAACAGATATTCTTGTAGGCACCAATGGCTCACGCCCTAGCTACACAGGAGGCTGAAATCTGAGCATTGCAGTTCAAAGTTGAAAATGCAGGCAGAAAAATCTATGAGACTTATGTCCAATTAACCACCCAAATGCCCAAAGTGGGAGTGTAACTCAACTTGTAGAGCACTAGACTTAAACAAGGAAGCTAAGGGGGCAGTGCCCAGGCCCTGCGTTCAAACCCCAGTACTGGCATACACGCACATGTGCGCACATACACATACACACAAACACACAGAAATTGAGATTTTTCAATTTTATCTTCCCTTAAAAGCATCACCCCTGGATTACAAGGCCTGTCCTGGGCTCATGAAGCCCAAACCTTTCTCACAAAGTCCAGTCCTTTGTAATCAAATGTGATTCTCCTTCCTGGCCAGGTCTTAAGTCACATTGCTTCCTGTGGCCCTTTCTCCAATGTGGCTAGGGACTCCATCCTTGCAATACTGTGGATACTGTTAACAGCTCCAAGGTTTTAACAGCTCCAAGGTTTCCCTGACCCTCAGAGTGGCCAATCGATTTTCCTTCATTTCTTGTAGATGCCAGAAGCAATTTCTGATTTATTCCTCTCACAGAAATGAATCCAGACTGGAATCCTCTTCCAAGAAACAAATGGCTGTTAACCAGGAGTTTCAAATAAGCCACAAACCCTACACATGCTTACAGATTCCGTGTGGGTAATACACACGCTTAGTCCTGAGGGGTTCTCCTAGCAAGGCTTACGAACTGGATGTTTGCACAGCTCCAGATGCTAAGAAAGAACATCTTTCTTCTCAATTCCCTGCTCTCCGCCCAGCCTGGGAGTGGGGACCACCTCCTGAGGTGCTCAGCATAGTCTACCTGCATCCTTCATGGCTTGATGTGTGCTGGTACCTGGTCTGGCACTAACTAAGCTTCTTCTTGCAGGATGCAGTGGGGAGTGAAAGGATGTCTTTGCAGAGACTAAACGAGGTTTCCTTTTGCTTGTTTTCTACCCACAGCACCATTCTGAAGCCCCTCACCATGCCCAACATTCAGATCTCCGAGGTGGATGCACCTGAGAGCGACCAGACACCAAGCCCCACAGGTACAGGAGGGCACAGGGAGAGGAGACTCGGGGTAGGTGTCACTGGGAGACACCTGCTATAATATATGCTATAAACTTGGTTTGCTCAGAAATACCTCAAACTCTCTTGCTTCAGGATTGAGAAAGTATTAACAGGAGACCATTAAAATCTCTTACCTCCAGTTGGTGACTCACACCTATCATCCTAGCTACTCAGGAGGCTAAGATCATGGCTCAAAGTCAGCCTGGAGATTCTTATCTCCAGTTAACTACCAGAAAACCAGAAGTGGTGCACTTGTGTTGAGCAAAAAGAGCTCAGAAATAGCCCTGAGTTAAAGTCCCACAACCAGCTAGAAATAAAAATTTAAAAAACTCTTACCTCATCCACCTACCGGTTGAACTTTCCTCTCTAGAAGCCAGCAGAGCACATCCCTCCCCAGTCAGTCTGTGCAAATATGATCAATGCTCACTCACATTTCCTTTGGAGCTGGATGCAATTTCTTCTTTTTCCCTCTTTATACAAGCTACCACTTCATTGTGTATATGCCAGTACTGGGGCTTAAAATCAGGGCCTGGAAAGTACTCGTTACCTTTTTCTTTTTCACTGAAGGTTGGTGCTCTACTACTTGAGCCACACCTCCAGTTCCAGATTTTTGGTGGTTAACTGGAGCTAGTTTCACAGACTTTTCTGCCCAGGCTATCTTTGAACTGTGGCCCTTAGATCTCAGCCTTCCTGTTTCAAAGTATACAATTCAGTGGCATTAAATACATTCATAATATTGTGCAATCACAACCATTTCCAAAACTTATTTCATCTTATAAAACTGAAATGAAGGGTTGTAGTTTAGTGATAGAGCACCTGCCTCTCCTGCACAAGGCCTTGGATTCAATCCTCAGCCACTGCAACATTATGTGTGTGTGTGTGTGTGTATAGGTGTAACTCAAGTAATAGAGGACCAGCCTTGAGTGGTAACAGCAATGATTCTGAGTCCCTCGTAGGAGTGGATTCACAGTCCTTGTCTTTTGGAGGACCAGTTCATTTCACTCAGCTTCATCTCCTCGAACTCCTCCATGCTCTACCAACGTCTTTAGGTCATGCTGGTCCTCTGCCAGGCACTATTCTACGTACTGTAGCTGTATTAACTCTTCCAAACCTTCACTACGTCCCCAGACTCCAGGGGCCTGAAGCCTGTGCAGGAAGACACGCCGCAGCTGATGCGCACGCGCAGTGATGTTGGAGTGCGTCGCCGTGGCAACGTGAGGACGCCCAGTGACCAGAGACGAATTAGACGCCACCGCTTCTCCATCAATGGCCACTTCTATAACCACAAGGTAGAGTGGGATGGAGAGGAAAGGGAAGGGGTCAGCCGGGGGGGGGGGGGGGGGGGGAAAGGGGGAAGTGAGGTGACATGCCTTGGTGGGCATCCTGTCATCTCCGACCAGGGTCTCCTGGTCCCTGGTGGGACACTTGATAAGCCTGATAAGCCATGTGCTGTTCAATGATTGGACTGTGGGCAGGCCACAGGTTCTTCTTGCTTTCTGAGGGATCAGAGATCTCAAGTCAGGGGCTGGGAAGGTGGCTCAGTGGTAGAGTACTTGCCTTGCATGCATGAGGCCCTGGGTTCGATTCCTCAGCACCACATAAGCAGAAAAAAAAAAAGCTGGAAGTGGTATTGTGGCTCAAGTGGTAGAGTGCTAGCCTTGAGCTGAAGAGCTGAGGGACAGCGCCCAGGCCCAGAGTTCAGGCCCCACGATCGGACCAAAAAAAAAAAAAAAATTTCAGAGATCTCAAGTCAGGAAGATCCTTCTCTCCCAAGGCAGTGGATGACTTGTGGGGAGGGGGGAGAAGGGGGTATAAATCAGCACCCAGCAGTAGCCTTGAAAACCCCATAAACATGTGGTCAATAAATGCCCCAATCCAGTCCCACCTAGGTCAATCTGCATGGTACCGTCTCTCTCTGACCCCGTGTCTTCTGCAGTCAGAATCAGTGTCTATTCTGACTGTCCCTAGTTAAGAGCTGTCTGGCATCAGAGCTGTGCGCTGCCCACTCCACTCCACCCCAAGTTAGATGGCCCCTCCTTTCCTCTGGCTTCTTGGTTCAAGTCCTACATGTTAGAAGCCAGTGAAGCATGGTCAGAGGCCTCCTGTGGCCCAAGTTCCAGGGATGTGGCTTTATGAGCACTTTACTTGGAGAAGAAGTGGGATTCCCTCTCCCAACCCTGCCTCAACAGACCTGACCTGATCCCCACCACACACACACACCCAGAAGGGTTTGGGGGACTGACTTAGGCGGCCCCCAGAGATGCTTTGAAGACAGGCAGAAGTTCTCCACGTTGCCAGGGGGCTCCTAGGGAGCACATTTTGCGCTCTGCTGTCAGTGTGCTATGTATTACCTGGGTTTTAGTGCTCTCGCCTTGTTCCCCCACTCCTATCCTGAGCACCCCCTCTATTGACAGACTTCAGTGTTCACGCCAGCCTATGGCTCCGTCACCAACGTCCGCATCAACAGCACCATGACTACCCCGCAGGTCCTGAAGCTGCTGCTCAATAAGTTTAAGGCAAGTTCCCCTGCTGTCTGCCTGGCTGAGGCATCCCGGTGGGAAGTGGGGGTCTATGGAAGTGTGTGGTTTGAACGTACTGGACAGGGGATTGGGTTCTCTAGACTTACTATGCATGGCCAGGTCTCCCAGCAGTAGACCTTCCCAAGCTTCTTAGAAAAGCAGATTCTTGCCAGGTGCCAGTGGCTCATGCCTGTAATCCTCATAAGTAACTAGGGGGCTGAGATATGAAGATCATGTTCAAAGCCAGCCCAGGCGGGAAAGTCTATGAGACTCTTATCTCCAATTAATCACCAGAAAACTGGAAGTGGAGCTGTGGCTCAAAGTAATAGAGCACTAGCCTTGAGTGAAAAAGCTCAAGGACAGTGCCCAGGCCCTGAGTTCAAACCCCACAACTGACAAAAAAAAAAATACTACAGTTACTGAGCAACATGGCATACACCTGTCACATCAGCCTCTCAGGAATCTGGAATCAGGAAGATGAAGGGTCTAAGCTAGCCTAAGCATACACAGGACTGGATCTCAACAGAGGGAGGTAGTTGTGGTTGCAGTGCCTGTCATCCCAGAGACAGCTGGAAGCCTAAAACAGTAGGATTGTTGTCCAGATACGGGCTCCAAACAAATTAACCAGTACAAAAAGGGTTGGAGATGTGGTTCAGTGGTCCAGCACTTGCTTAGCAAGCATGAGTCCCTGAGTTGAGTTCAAACCTTAGTACAAGAAAAAGTTGCTAGCTGGGCACAATTGCATATGCCTGTAGTTCCAGCTACTCAGGAGGCTAAGGCTTGATTGCTTTAGTCCATGAGTCCAAACTAGTCTGGGAAATATTGTAAAACCCTATCTCAAGAGAAAAGAATCAGAATTTTAAAAAATAATCTTGGTCTTCAAAAGAATTATTCAGGGATTATAGAAACAGAGTCACCAGACCTTGAAAGCCTCATGCACGTCTACTTACACATCTAATTAAGTCTCACTCTTCAAAGTAGGATCCCCAATCATGTTCTGGGGATATGTGTGCTGAGGCTTCACAGGGGTTAGACTCCAGGTTAGACCTGGAGTCTATGGTAGCTCGTAAAGTACCTGAGGGCTGATGCTTCTCAGTCCCTAATGGATGTATGACTGCCCAGTCCCCTGAAGGCTGGTAGCCCAGTTTTTCTGTCCTTTCCCTCCCAGTTGCTAACTTAGCAGGTTTAGGGCAGGAACTAAGAATCTGTTTTTCTTTGTTGTGAGTGGTGGGACAGGCCTGGGCACTGTTCTTGAGTTTTTTCACTCAAGCTAAGTGCTCTACCACTTTGAGCCACAGTTCCACTTCCACTTTTCTGGTGATTAATTGGAGATAACAGTCTCATAGACTTTCCTGCCTGGGCTGGCTTTGAACCGCAATCCTCAGATCTCAGCCCCCTAAGTAACTAGGATTACAGGCATGGCCACCAGCATCTGGCAATATTCTTATTTTTAATGGGAGCCAGTGTAGCTGAGAACACCAGGCTCTGGGTTTAAAGGGCTAGGGACCCAGCTCAGGTGGCAGAGCACCTGAGTTCAAGGGCCTGAGTTCAAATTCAAAATCCCTTGCCTGGTACTGGTGGCTCACACCTGTCAATCCTAGCTACTCAGGAGGCTGAGATCTGAGGACCACATTTCAAAGCCAGCCCGGGCAGGAAAGTCCGTGAGACTCTTCAGTTAACCACCAGAAAACCAGAAGTGGCGCGGTGGCTCAAGTGGTAGAGCGCTTGCCTTGAGCTGAAGAGTGGAGGGACAGCACCTAGGCCCAAAGTTCAAGCCCTACCACTGACAAAACAAAAAACAAAACAAACACACAAATAAAAAAATTAAAACCCCAAACCTTCTGAGTACAAGTTACAAACTTAAGAACATTTCAGATTTCAGATATTTTGGATCAGGGATGCTCAGCTGGTGTAATTGATGCACATATTGCAAAATCTAAATAACTCTGAAACCTGGGACTCTTCTTGTCCTAATAATGTCAGATAAAGGATGCTCAGCCTGTGTTGCCTGTTATTGTTGGTGAAGTTATCTGCTGGCCCCGCCTCCCTGCCACTGTGAGCACTGTAAACAAAAAGTCCTCCCTCAGAGAAATCTAGGCTATGGCTTTCTATATTGAGGAGGGGAGAGAGGCTGGCCGCTAGGATGGTTAACCCGTCTCTTCTGTTCCTGATTCAGATTGAGAATTCTGCAGAGGAGTTTGCTTTGTATGTGGTCCACACCAGCGGTGGTGAGTAGAGAGGAGGGACACAATGTGCTTTAAAACTTTAACTTAAAATAGCAAGTTGAAAAAAGAAATACCTCAGTCTCATCCAGCTGTTGCCTGAGTTTTAGAACCTTCCAAATGTTGTTTGCTTCCAAACGTGGTGAGCTTGCTGGACAAGCCACTGGGAAGTGCCATAGATGGGAAGTAAACTCAACTTAAAGTGGCTTTTTTCTTCTTCTCCTTTTCTTTTCTTGTCAGTCATGGGACTTGAACTCAGGGTCTGCACACTATTCCTGAACTCTTTTGCTCAAGGCTAGTGTTTGAGCCACAGTTTTTTTTTCTTGTTGTTAAATGGAGGTGAGTCTCAAGAAAAATTTCCTGCCCATGCTGGCTTTGAACCATGACCCTCAAATCTCTTCTGAGTAGCTAGGATTACAGGCATGAGCCACCAGCGCCCCGCTCCCCCAGCCCCCACCACGTTTAAAAAATTGTTATTATAAAGGTGATATACAGAGGGCTTACAGTTCCATCAGTCAGGGAAAGAATACATTTCTTTTTGGACAATGTCCTCTAGTGCTGTGCCTTATACCTGTAATCCTAGCTACTCAGGAGGCTGAGAGCTAAGGATCAAGTTTGGAAGCCAGCCTGGGTAGGGAATCTTTATCTCCAATCAAGCACAAAAGCACCCCCTTAAAAAATAACAACAAAAAAAACTGGAGCAGAGTTGTGGCTCAAGCAGTAGAGTGCTAGCCTTGAGCACAAAAGCTCAAGGACAGTGTCCAGGTCCTGAGTTCAAGCCCCAGTACTGACGGGCGCACGCGCGCGCGCGCACACACACACACAAACACACACACACACACACACACACCACAAAGAGGAAGATAAACCCTATACTTCCTAATTAGCATCTCCCAAGGAGTCTGAGGCATGGTGGTATTGGGGAGAGAGAGATAGGGGAGAGGTTGTTTTGCCCAATACTTACATACAAATATACAAACCAGTCTCCTTGAGAGGCAGGGTGGGCGAATACAGTCATAACATTCAATGTATGTATGTGAAACTGGAGCCAGGGAACTTGAAGGGGTGAGTGTGGTTGGGAAAGATAGAGGAGAACGATGAAAAGGGTGACATTGCTTTTAAGATACATTGTATTCATAAATAGACGTGTTGAATAATTCAATTATTCAGTTAGTATCAATTCAATTATTATCTTTTATTAAAGATAATAAAATAAAAAAGCAAACATAAAGCAAATGTTTCCTGTCAAGCACCACTGGCTCACACCTGGAATCCTAGTTACTCAGGAGGCTGACATCTGAGGATGGCAGTTTCAGGTCAGCCCAAGCAGGAAAGTCTGTGAGTCTTATCTCCAATTCATCAGAAAAAAGGAGGAAGTGGAGGCTTGGATCAAGTGGTAGAATGCTAGCCTTGAGAGAACAAAGCCCTGAGTTTCAGCCATCCCTCTCAACCCCAAAAAGTGAAAGACAAAAAAATGTCTGATGTGCGTGGCCACATCTAAGATGCCTGGGCTATTTGGACCCCCTGACGACTACTTTGGGCAAGAAAAACCTCAGGCCAAACTCAGCACTGCCCATGCTTGTGTGTGATTTCAGAGAAACAGAAGCTGAAGACCACGGACTACCCCCTAATCGCCCGCATCCTCCAGGGTCCCTGTGAGCAGGTCTCTAAAGTGTTCCTGATGGAGAAGGACCAGGTGGAGGAAGTCACTTACGACGTGAGTCCCCTCTGATTGGATGGTCGGTCCTCAGGTGGGTGGGGATTTGGTTGGAGTGTAGCATGACTTTTTAGCCAACAACAGGTCCCCTCTGACTGCCATTCTTTAATACCGGGTTTTCTTAGAGACAGTTGAGGGTATGCCCCGTGGGAATTGTTAAAGGTGGGTTAGGGTTAGGGTGGTGGTGGTGGTAGTGGTGATAGTGTTGGTAGTGTTGGGAGTGATTTTCACTGAAGAAATGATTTTTTATCCTTTTAGAGGAACTATAAGAGGTTTGAAACATTTTTATACTCTCTTAAGGGCACCAAGAAGTTAGCAGTGCTGTTTTTTTTTTTCTTTAAAACCTCATCTTATATATTAGTCAGCCTTTGCTGTAGTAACAAACATCCCTCAAGTCTCAATAGATGGAACAACAAACACTCATGTGTTCTGTATGTGATTCTGCCAGCTGTGAAGCAGCAACTCTGCTCTGGGCTGTGGGTTGGGTTTTACATTGTGTGTCTCGTTCAGAGACTCAGGATGAGGGGACAGTGGCTACCTGGGGTATGTTCTTTATGGATGATGGCTGGAGCTTCAGATACCCAGGTTAATCACACATGCTCATTTGAAACCTCTACTTAGCTTGAGCATACATCATAGCTACACACATTGCAATGACCAAAGCAAGTCACACAGCCACACTCAACAATAAGGGTGGAGAAATGTCCTTCTCCCATCAAGGATAGCTGATACAGCACTCAGATAAGGATTCTAATGGGAGAGAAGAAACTGCCCCCTAACTTTAACTCATCTGGAAGCCTCTCACAATTGTTCAGAAGCCAACTTCCACTTGAATTCTTGTTTGAGATCTAAGACAAATTGTTACTCAGAACCACAATAATTCCTCAAATTCTCGTAGGGGAGAATAATGAGGTATACACACATTTTTGTTATTTTGTTCTTTGTTGTTTTCTTGCCAGGAAAAGAACCAAGGGCTTCGTACATGCTAGGCAAGCATTCTACCTCTGAACTAACCCCAGCCCTAAGGGATTTATTACATGAGTTCAGTTTATTCTCTATACCACTGTATCCAGAGAAAATGCCTTTCACTATTGGCCATCACTCAAATCGTGGCTTGGAGGCACAAGGTGGGAAGTGAGAAGTTGTGACCTGGTGTCCTAGAAGTCATGCAGGTTCATTTGCAAGGTCTGGCTCTTGCCTTTAAGGGTTAGTGGGAGAACAGATTTTTCAAGGCTGTGTGCCTTCGAGGAGAGGAATACACAAGCCATTGCAATCATGCCGGGAGGGGTGTGTACCCCAGATTGACTTTGTCACCTTCCTCAGGTGGCCCAGTACATAAAGTTTGAGATGCCTGTCCTTAAAAGCTTCATTCAGAAACTTCAAGAGGAGGAAGATCGGGAGGTGAAGAAGCTGATGCGCAAGTAAGTATGGCCCTAGGGTGCTGATTGGGTTTCTCCTTGGGCTTCATCAAGAGGGGTCTCTGTTTGGGTGCCCTGCAGGGCTACTACTGGGCTGCTGTGTGTGACTGGGTCTTGTGGGTTTTAATCAGGGGATACCTATTCATAAATCTGATCTCAGATAGGGACATGACATTTAATTACTGTTGTGTCCCCTACTTTTTGTGTCAGTTTGAGGGTGGAGGGGAGTGCGTGTGCTTGTGTGCCAGTAGCCAGTACTAGAGCTTGAATCAGGGCTTGGCTTTTTAAAAATCAAAGTTGGTAGTCTTTTTTCTTGTTCTTTTTTTTGCCAGTCCTGGGGCTTGAACTCAGGGGTACTGTCCCTGAGCTTCTTTTACTCAAGGCTAGCACTCTACCACTTGAGCCACAGTGCCACTTCTGGAGTTTTTTGTGTATGTGGTACTGAGGAATCAAACCCAGGGCTTCATGCATGCTAGGCAAGCACACTACCACTAAGCCACCTTCCCAGCCTGTCAAAGTTGGTATTCGACCACTTGAGTCACACCTCCAGCCTGTCAACTACTTATTTTGATATGATGATCAAAATATCTCCCCTCCCCCTTCCTTTTACAGAAGAACTCCAAAACATGTTGGTTTAAAATCTGTTTGGAATCTAGATTTTTAAATAGGGTAGGTACACTCACCCACAGACCATGGTCCCCATACCCAGTGGTGGCTAGAATCTCTTCTATAAAACACAGGCACTGGTTGTATAAGGTTGAGCCATATGAAGTTTCCATTTTGAGAGTTCCCCCTCCTGAAGGTAAAATATTGGCAATTTCATATAATGCACCCTGGATGAAGGTTAGTGAGCCACTGTGCTTATAAAGCTCTGTGCACAGTTCCTTGGTCATAGTAAGCACTGAGCAGGGCCCTTATTGCTGCTGTTGATAGCTTCACAGGTCTACCCTTCTTTTACCAAGCCTTCCTAACCATCATAGAATGATCTAATTAGGAGTTGGCATCTTTATTCCTGCTGAGGAAATGAACACAAGCAAGGAAGCGGCTAGACTATGTGGCATACACCTTCCCTGGTGTACCTGTTACTTGGGTTCTGGGAAGGCCCCCAAGGAGGGGCTGTGTTCCCCACTGGCCTCTACTACAGGCTGTTTCTTGCCCCCAGGTACACTGTGCTCCGGTTGATGATTCGACAAAGGCTGGAGGAGATAGCCGAGACCCCAGCAGCAATCTGAGCCACAGGAATGAGGAGATCCAGACACCCCAGGGGCTGTCACCGACCAGAGAAGACACGCAGGAAGCTAGCCACTTTCTTTCCCTGGAAACATTGAAGCACAACGCTCTCTGGCTCCATCATTTGCTACATGGAACAGGATGGGGAAGCCAGCAGACAACTCCGCACCCCTAAATCCCTGGTTCCCTCTTTTTCACTTGCAAGGACTTTTATTTCTGTCTGGAGGACCGAAAGTATGTATGTGCGTGTGTGCATGTGTGTGCACGCACGCAATGCAAGTCTATGTGCCTCACTGTGTTTTACACATGCAATTAATTCCAAGCAACCAGCACTGGTGCCATAAGGCTGGCAGAGGCGCTGTCCTGGGCAGAAGAGACAGATGAGGGGTTTTGGATGAAAGAAATCTTTTTCCCTTGAGTGCCTGGGTAGTCGCACAAATTGGTCTATGTGTGGAAGAAAAGAAGTTCCCACCAGCTCACCCTTTGAGTACTTGTATGTTCAAAGAAATTCTCCTGTTGGGCACTGTGGCTCAAGCCTGTAACCCTATCTATTCAGGAGACTAAGATCTGAGTATCCCTGTTCAAAGCCAGCCTGGGCAGAAACATACATGAGACTCTTATTTCTAATTAACTAGCAAAAAGCCAGAAGTGGAGCTGTGGCTCAAGCCAGAAGGGGCTCCGTGGACAGCTCCCAGCACTCAGTTCAAGCTCCAGTACTGGCACCCATCCACATACAAAGAAATTCTCCCTGTATGTCTTGAAGGATGAGGTGAACATAAAATCCTTGGAAATGAACACAATAGCCAATTTGATGGCAAGGAAAAGATCATGGGATAGATGCAATGAGCTGACAAGTTTTTACACTGGAAATGTTCATTGATCACTTTCAGTAAGAGGAATGTGCAGTTGTGGATGCCTGAAAGAATGCATGCGGCCTCTGTCTACACTCCCTGGCCACTGTGAGACTCAGCAGAGCCTGCCTTTTCACCCCGCTGCCTGTCCATTTCCCTAGTGTTCCCTTGGAGTAATGAAAGTCTCAGGAGACAAAAGTGTCCCCGTTGGCCATGTGGGCCAGACTGGCTCGTGCTTAGGGCCTGACTTGATCTGGGTTGGTAGACAGGAAATTTCCAAGATCCATGCTTAGTGAAAGGGCAGGGTAGAGGCCACCTGTAGGAAGGGCAGGTGCCTGGGAACAGCCCAACTTCCCATCAGGGAGAGCCTTCCTGCACTGAGAGCTGGGGCTAGGTGTTTGCAGTCAAGGTTTTATTCTTCCCAGACTCTGGATTCTTGAGAGTGAGGGCTTTCTCCAAGGAAGGTTTGCAGAGCTGGGGGGCTGAGGGCAGGAGAACCTCTGGCCAGCACCCTGAGGGAAAGGTGGGCCTGTGGGAGAGAGCCTTTCCTGCCCTAGGCACTCTCCTCTCCACAGACATGCCTGTGGTTTTGGCCTCCAAGGCCTCTTTAAATGCCTCTCAGTTGTAGTTTCTCTGTGAATTTTCAAAAAGATAGCATGCTGCCACTGGGCACATTGCCAAGGATCTCTTAACAAGCCTACTTCCTCCCCCGGGGCAGCGCCCCTTATTCCCCCCAACCCTGGAGAGTTGAAAGCCAGAGGGGCTGAGTGTCACACACACACACACACACACACACACACACACACACCCTCAGTGGATTTTCCCCCCCCCCCCCCCACCAAAAGCACAGACTTGAGGGTGGGGGCGGGGCTAAGGGGCGGGGCAAAGCTCCCTTTGTCACTGATGAGAAAGAGCAGTTTTATGTTCAGACATACTCCCAGATTTGCATGTGGGGGGAGGGGCGGGGGGGGAGGGGGGCCGGGACTTGGCTGATATTTTTTTTTTTAATCTCTCTTCCAGTTATTTTTATCTTGAATGTTCAAAGCCTTCATCATTCCAGTAATTCTCCTTTTTTGGGGGGGCAGGGAGGGTGTGGCTGAGAGGAAGAATTTCTGCAAAGCAAATGACTAACTACTAACTCTTCTTGGACAGCTATTTCTGGTTTATAAAAGTTCTCGTAATTTGCACTAGCTCTCTGATCTGATCCTGTTAGATCTGGAAATGTCACAGAATGCCAGTTTGCCAAGTCACTTTCCAAGAACATGAGACTAAGGAAGACTTGGCTTTTAAAGGTAGGGTTCAGGGTGGAAGTGGGAGGTAGCATGTTAACTTACCCCACATTTTCACTAGTGAAGACCACAACAGACATCAGATGATCTGATCATGGATTTTGGAAACAGCTGGGCACTGGTGGCTGGCTTTAGCTACTCAGAGGGCTGAGATCTGAGGATCACAATTCAAAACCAGTCAGGGCAGGAAAGTCTATGAGACTCTCGTCTGCAGTTAGCCAGCAAAAAGCCAGAAGTGGAAGTGTAGTTCAAGAGGTAGTGCCAGCCTTGAGAAAAAAAAGCTAAGGGACAGGGCCCAAGCCCTGAGTTCAAGCCCCAGCACCAGCACATGCACACACAAATTTGAAACGCAGCTAGGGGTACAGCTCAGTGGTAGGTCCCATGTTTAGCAATGCATATGGCCTTGGTTTAAACCCCTGGCACCTTTGAAGCAGCAGCATTTGAAATGCTACATAGCAAGGACCAGCTTTTCTCAGTGTATTACATAGCTGGCAGCTTTGAGGTCCTCAGCTGATTTGTGTGGATTATGTAATTGTGTGCAATGATCCTGAAATTGTATAAAAAATACAGACCCAAAAACCAACTGAAGACCAATGTATAGGGATTTTGTTTTGTTTTGTTTTCCCCCTACTTATGAAAAGCAGTTTAATTGCATCTGGCTTTTGTTTTCTTCCACCAAAGGTTCAAGTTACTAGGAGATCAAGTGGAGGAAAAGGCCCCAGTCCTTTGGCTGGGATGGGGGTGGGGTGGAATTAAGCACAAGGTCACATTCTCTGTGATCAAGTTCGTAGAGCCGTGATGACTTACAGGGCCGAAGGGCTGCTACTTGGGGAGCAGAAGAGAAGCACAAAAGATAGATTGCCAAGGTGTTGGAAAGAGTGTGTACCCTTGCTGGGCACTGGTGGCTCATGGCTGTAATCCTAGCTACTCAGGAGTCTGAGATCAGAAGATCCCAGTTCAAAGCCAGCCCAGCCCGCCCCCCCCCCAAAAAAAAAGTCCATGAGAGTCTTCCCTCAAATAAAGCAGTAAGTAGGGCTGTGGCTCAAGTGGTAAAGCACCAGCCTTGAGTGAAAAAACTTAGCGATAGTGCCTAGGCCATGAGTTCAAGCCCAAATACCTGCACAAAGGAAATAAAATACCCTGGTTTCCAGGCTGGTTGGACTTCAACTTGGAGTTGAGGATGAATAGAAAGGAAAACCAGCTCTTTATGATAAATTGGCTAAGGCTCCAGGTCAAGGTTAAGTTTTAAGATACACTGAAGTTTCAAAAGGAAATGGTGGTACAATTCCCTCCTTCCTACCAAAAAGAAAACAATACCCAGTCCTGGAAACTTCCAGATGAAGATATTTTGTCATTGTGCTTGTGATGTATGATAACATCTCCCTTCCAAACCCATTCTCTGTGTAAGATATCCTGATTGATAAGAATTGTTTTCTGTGGAGTTGAATGGTTATTTGGTGTCAGGAGAATGGAAAGAGAAAGGAGGCAAAAAGGGAAAGGAATGCTTGTGTGTGTGTGTGTGTGTGTGTGTGTGTGTGTGTGTGTGTGTGTGTGTGTGTGTGTGTGTGGTGCCAGTCTTGAGGCTTGAACTCAGGGCCTGGGCCCTGTCCCTAAGCTTTATTTGCTCAGGGACTTGAGCCACAGCTCCATTTCCAGCTTTTTGGAGATAAGAGAAATAAGTGTCTCATGGACTTTCCTACTCAGCTGGCTTTGAACCACAATCCTCAGATCTTAGCCTCCTGAGTAGCTAGAATTAGAGGCCTGAGCTACCGGAGCCCAGAGGGTCCTTTTAAATCAATAAAACCAGCTGACCAATTAATCATTCAGCTGACCAACCAACCAAGCAAACCAAGAAAGAAAAATGAAACGAATAACTCATTTTATTTCAAAGTTTTGTAACCTAATTTGGTGTTAAGGATATATCCAAGAAAGAAAGAAATCTCAATATGACCAAGGGAATTTCAATGTCTCCCGTGACCAAACAGTAAGTTGAGGCAAAGACAATAGAGGGGCTGGGAAGGTGGCTTAGTAGTAGAGTGCTTGCCTAGCAGGCATGAAGCCTTGGGTTCAATTCCTCACAGAAAAAGCCAGAAGTGGTGCTGTGGTTCAAGTGGTAGAGTACCAGCCTTGAGCAAAAGAAGCTCAGGGACAGTGCTCAGGCCTTGAGTTCAAGCCCCAGGACTGGCTAAATAAATAAATAATAAAAAAATAAAAAAGACAATAGAGATCACCGGAACCTCTCAGCCATACAAAACTTTCACGTTTCTACTTAAATTGTTTCTTGCTTGAGTCAGAGGAGATGGCTTTTCCTAGAGAGGCAAAAACAAGCATGAAGGTTTGTTTCAGATATAAGTAGAAATGTTTACTCTGTCCTGGGATATTAAAATTCTCCCTTCCAGGCTGGGAATATGGCTCAGTGGTAAAGTGCTTGTCTAGCATGCATGAAGTCCTGGGTTCAATTCCTCAGTACCACATAAACAGGGAAAGCCAGAAGTGGAGCTGTGGCTCAAGTGGTAGAGCGCTAGCCTTGAGCAAAAAGAATCTCAGGGACAGTGTCTGGGCCCTGAGTTCAAGCCCTAGGACTGGCAAAAATAAATAAAATAAAAGTAAAATTCCCCCTTCCCTTCCCAGGCTATTTTTCCTTCCTTCTTTCCTTCCTTCCTTTCTTCCTTCCTTTCCTTCTTTCCTTCCTTCCTTCCTTCCTTCCTTCCTTCCTTCCCTTCCTTCCTTCCTTCCTTCCTTCCTTCCTTCCTTCCTCCCTCCCTCCCTCCCTCCCTTTCTTTCTTTTTTCCGGTTGTAGAGCCTGAACTCTAGGCTGGGCGCTGTCCCTCAGCTCTTCAGCTCAAGGCTAGTGCTCTACCACTTGAGCCTCAGCACCACTTCCAGCTTTTTCTGCTTTATGTGGTGCTGAGGAATCAAACCCAAGGCCTCATGCATGCAAGGCAAGCACTCTACCACTGAGCCACATTCCCAGCCAGCCCCCGGCTATTTCTAAACTGAGCACAGAGATGCACACACTGTGAAGGGAAGCCCCAGTTTCCCCCTGGAGTTTCCTGGCAAATCACAGACCTCTTTCCGGGCTGGTGGTTTCTGGTGTGTGTAGTTGCTAGCGTTTCTTAAAGGTTTTGTGAAGTATACTTTCTTACTTTTGTGGAATATACTTCTCATCAGTTGCCTTTCAGGGATGGAACATGACTGACTGGGTTCAATGTTTGGATCTGAAGTGAAAACCAATCCCTTTAGACATCTTAATGTAATTTGACAAGGCCTCATAGGGAGCCATACAGTTTTGTAACCTTTTGATATGTGTTAAAGCACCTGACTTAGGTCTCATTGAAATAAAGCACTTTTCAAAGTCTCCTCGTGGATTTGGGCTGTGTCTCTCCTGGAAGGGGAGTTCTGTGTGGGGAGAGAGTGTTTGTAAAGCTAGAGGATGGGAACTTGAAGTTGATTTTCTTCCCTCAGAGTTTGTTTGAATAAGCCCAGAGCTAACTGTCACATTGCCGTTGTTCATTTTCTGTTCTTATAACAAAATGTCAGAGACTGGAGAGTTTAGAATGAACAGAGGGTTTATTTAGCTCAGAGTTTCAGTGGCCAGGAGGTCCAAGAGCACAGAGCCAACATCTGCTCAGCATCTGGGAGCTGGCTGGCTGGTGTTATAATATCAAAGAAGGCATCACATTGTTGACAACAGAGCAAAGCATCCTAGAGAGAGCTACTTCATGATTTTGTTGTGTGGTATGGGGGAATTGAGCCTAAGGCATCATACAAACCAATCCTCCTCCTCAGGAACTAAGATTATAGGTGTGGGACACCAGTGCCAGCTCGGACTCACCTTATAACTTAAAGTCTGTTCCCTGATGTTTTGAATGACATCAGAATCACAAAGGTAAACAAGCAGCTCCACAGCAACCTCAATGCAGCCCAGCCAGCCAGGCGCTGGGGTCTGACTCCTCATCTTGGCTACTCAGGAGGCTGAGATCTGAGGATCACAGCTCAGAGCCAGCCTGGGTAGGACAATCTCTGGGACTAATCTCCAATTAGGCAGCAAAAAGCCAGAAGTGGATATGTGGTAAGTAATAGAACACTAGCCTTGAGTGGAAAAGCTAAGGGACAGTGTGCTTAGGCCCAACCTAAAGTTCAAGCCCCAGGACCATCACACAGAGAAGCAAGGAAGAAAGGAAGGAAGGAAGGCAGAAGGAAGGAAGGAAGGAAGAAATATTTTAAAGAACTATACAGCTAACAACAACCGGAAAAACAAAAATAAAAAACAAACAAACAAAAAAAACCCAAGACTTACATATTGGGAGGAGATATTTGCAAATTCCCTATCAGCTAAGGGATTAATAATAGAATTGCTACTCAATAACTCATGACTTTGAATGTCCTCTTCTGATCACTTAGTTTCTTGGAGATGCCCTGGTGCCACCTGCGCACACCTGCCCACACCACCTGCAGCCAGCAGCGTCTAGCTGTCTTCATCCCAATGATTCTAATGACAGCCTTAGGGATACCTTGACATTTCCCCAGACTTAATTATGACATGGATTCTGAGATCCTTAAGTCCTAATATGCTTAATCTTAACCCCCAGCCTTGAACATTGCTCAAGCAGTATTTTTTTTTTTAAGTAAAGGTGATGTACAGAGGGGTTACAGTTACTTAAGTCAGAAAATGAGTACATTTCTTTACGAATAGTGTTACTCCCTCATTTCTCCCAGGTTTTTGTTTTTTGTTTTTGTTTGGTCAGTCCTGGAGCTTGAACTCAGGGCCTGAGCACTGTCTCTGAGTTTAGTTTCTTTTGCTCAAGGCTAGCACTCTACCACTTGAGCCACAGCACCACTTCTGGCTTTTTCTGTGTATGTGGTGCTGAGGAATCGAACTGAGGGCTTCATGCATGCTAGGCAAGCACTCTACCACTAAGCCACATTCCCAGCACCTCTCCCAGTTTTGCTCAAGCAGTATTAAGACAGGCCACACATGATGCCAACGCTGATATCCTTCTTTGGAGACTAACACTTTATTCAGGATCCTCACCCTGCTGCTCCCCATGTGTGCCATTGCCTGAGGGCTGGTTACCCAAGACGATGAAGTAAATGCTTATTATAAATCCATTCCTCTTTTGAACTGGGATCCCAAAAAACCAACCCATCCAAGGATTATAAACTGCATTTTTCTCTCTTTAGTCATTGAAAATCGTGCTAAATTGAGATGAAAATAATGCTGAGTACAGGCTTTTCGAGACTAAATTTAAGCTACTGGCAGTCATGAAGTTGCTCTTCAGGACTATGTAATAGACACTTTGCAGAGTACAGGAGAAGAAAGATCCCTGGAGAAGGTACTCAAAGGACAAAACGACCCGGAGAATTCATGCAGAATATTGTAAATGAATCCTGCAGAGCAATAATGACTTCAAGGGCTTTATCCCCATAGGGAAGATGCCACAAAAATGCATCTCTCAGACAGTTTAAGAATCATAACTGTGCTTCTTGGGGAACATACTAAAAGATAATATTTTCATTTCTGCACGTTTCATAAATGAGATTCAAGTCTTGGTAATAAAGATTGGTCTCACAGTGAGTAATAATTTCTTTATGCAGAATCTGTAGAGAAACTATATTAAAGTCTATAGACCTATCACAAAATCAATTCCATGTGGAAGCCACGATCTAATGCTCAGTGACATGCAGAGTACAATGACATAGAAATGCTTGGAAAAATACTGGCAGAATCTATCTACTAGCTAAAGTTTCCTTCCTTCCTTCCTTCCTTCCCTCCTTCCTTCCTTCTTCCCTCCTTCCTTCTTCCCTCCCTCCCTCCCTCTCTCTCTTTTCTCTCTCCAATGAGCTAGCTACAAACAATTCAGAAGTAGGATTGTGACACAAGTGGGAAAGTATTAGCCTTAAGTAAAAGAAACTAAGAGACAGAGTCCAGACCCTGAGTTCAAGCCCCAGGACTAGCTCCTGTGTGCATGCGCGCACACACACACACACACACACACACACACACACACACACACACGGTGCTAATTGAGATGAAATGTCTATATAGCAAATGCATTGTTTTAACTGACAAGTGTGCAGAATACCTGCAGATCTACCATCTCTGCAGCAATACCTCCTCTAGTGACTCCTTCACTTGGCCCTTTCTTATCACATGGCCTTGCTTCGTTGACTTGGCTTAGCTCTGTAGGACTTGGCTTCTTTGTCTTTGTTAGTTGTTTCCTTCTCGGAAACAGAAGCTGTCAGAAACCAGAGACCTCTCTGCCTTGTTCAGGGTTGTATTCCTCAAGTCAGAGACCCCATTCCCCCCTCCTCCCCAGCCTGCATCTCCCCCCCCCCTCCCCCCCCAGCCTCTTTCTCCCTCTTTTGGCTGCCTGGAAGGAATGAAGGTCTTTTATACTTGAATGAGAACATGGCTTCTGCTTTCTAACTAGGCAAAACTCACTCAGGGGCTCTTCCCGCCCTCGGGTGGGCCAGAATTCAAGCAGCTGCTACCCTGTGGGGCTGAGTGAGTGCCCTGAGTCCTGTGACCTCCGTAGGAAAAATGTGTCAGCCCTACCTGAGTTCCTGCCCGGTACCCATGAAGAGGCAGAGGGCGAGACAGTGCCACCTGGCGGCACTTTCTGTCTCTGAGGTTCTCTGACAGTTTCAGGGTCCTTGCCCATTCCAGACACAGCCTAGGGGAGGAGCTGGGGCGACCACAGGCTTTAACCTAGGTGCGCGCGGGGGCGAAGGAGAATGCAGAAAACCAGTTTCCCTTCTGTCGTTCAAGGCTGCTGTGAGAGCGGCTGGAAGGCTGGTCCTGGGCCCTGCAGGGTGGGCGGTGTTCGCGCGCCCCCTGCTGGCACCGATGGCGCATAACTCCCACACCCCACAAGGGACCCACGTCTATTTGAAAAATCAACTGTAGTGTCATGTTGACCTTCCTGTCCTTACTTGAAACGTGCATTTACCCCATAGCACGTTGCATAGGGAGAAGGGCGTATGTGGCAGCGTCACATATGGAGAGAGACGCCTTTCTGGATTCAGAAAAGGATGCTGTTTTTGACACGTCCCGCGTGCTTGGGTGTTTTCTGAGGCTTCTCAGGTTGGAATCCTGGTTCCCCTCACAGAGAGAGACAATGGCTCCCACTCTCTCCACCCTGGCTTTCTCCGTCTTCAGAATGGGTGTAACACTGTAGCATCTCAAGAAGTTTTTGGAGTAAATACTTTTAAAACACTGGGGGTGAGGGTTGGGGAGGGGAAAAACTGGGAGAACATGAGGGAGGCGGTGACACTATTCAGACAGAAATGTACTCAATACCTGACTTTTGTAACTGTAACCCTTCTGTACTTTGGGGTACATCACCTTTACAATAACAATTAAAAAAAAAACACTTAGAAGGGCTGGGAAGGTGGCTCAGTGATAGAGTGCTTGCCTCACATGCATGAGGCTCTGGGTTCGATTCCTCAGCATAAGCAGAAAAAGCTGGAAGTGGCACTATGGCTCAAGTGATAGAGTGCTAGCCTTGAGCTGAAGAGCTGAGGGACAGCGCCCAGGCCCAGAGTTCAGGACCCATGACGGACAAAAAAAAAAAAAAGTAATCACTAGCTATTATTATTATAACATTTTGTTTACTTAAACTAAAACCTGCACAAAAATCCTAAAAGGCTTAAGGACTATTGCAAAAATACAGATCAAGATAATATGAATAATAACAATGGTATTTTAAAGAATATGTGTATACTATGCCTCTATATGTGTAGTATATGTGTATACTATGCAGCAATCAGGAGAATCTCTGTTCAGCCAAAAAGATAGCGAGATCCCATTTCAGCCAACAAGGCAGGTATGATGGTGTGCCTCCGTAATCCCAGCTGTCTGGGATTCATAGATGAGAGGGTTGTAGTCTGAGGCCAATCTGAGACCAGCTGTAGCAAACAGTGGGAGACCCTATCTAAAAAACAAAACAAAACAAAAAAACCAAAAAGCAAACGTGGCTGGGGGTGTATTCCAACTAGTAGAGTGCTTGTAGTCAACATCAAGGTCTTGAGTTCAAATCCCAGTACTACCAAAATATGTATATAATTTATAAATAAGTTTTAGCACATATGAACAATGCTCCCTGAGAGCTTGGGCACCCAATATAAAAGGTTTGGGGTCCATTATTACTATCATCACCATCATCATCATCATCATCATTATTATTATTTCTGTTGTAACCATTTTTTTTAAAGAAAACTTGTTATTCTAAAGGTGGACAGAGGATTACAGTTGCATAAGTCCCGTAATGAGTGCATTTCCTTTCTCACAGTGCAGACAGCAGTGGTTTTTGAGCCTGGACGGGCACTGGGGTGTGGCTTTAATCGTGTTCTTTTCTTTGGGTTACTGAGACTTCAGTACCAGGTTCCACACAGGCAAGTTGAAGCACAGAATTTCTTCTTCCTGAAAGGACACCCACTAGATTAGGCCAGACCCACTCCAACAGCCTCAAATGAACGCACCTCTTTGGAGACCCTGTCACCAAATAGAGTCTCATTCTGAAGTACTGGGCCTTAAGGGGACCAGAAAGGGAGGATGGGGGAGGATGGAGAAGGCTGCTGGTGGCTTTCTGGGTGTGTTGGTTATCGGCATGGCCTTAGCATTTTACAACCCAGGCTGGTCTCCCTTCCAGAGCTGGCACTACAGGTATGCATCACCACACCCAGCTGTAAGCAAAAGTTTGAAATGTTTTGGGGAAAAGTTCAGTTGAAGGCAGAGTGTTAAGCCCTTCCTACATTCCAGAAAGCCAAACACTGTGGGGGGTGGGGGTGGGGTAGGTACTGGTGCTTGGCTTGGTAATAGACACGGGTGGTGGTGGTGGTGGTGGTGGTGGTGGTGGTGGGTACTGGTGCTTGGCTTGGTAATAGGCACGGGGGGGGTACTGGTGCTTGGCTTGGTAATAGACACGGGGGGGGGGGGGTTACTGGTGCTTGGCTTGGTAATAGGCACGGGGTGGTGGTGGTGGTGGTGGGTACTGGTGCCTGGCTTGGTAATAGGCACGGGGGGGGGGGTTACTGGTGCCTGGCTTGGTAATAGGCACGGGGGGGGGTACTGGTGCTTGGCTTGGTAATAGACACGGGGGGGGGGGGTGGGTACTGGTGCTTGGCTTGGTAATAGGCACGGGGTGGTGGTGGTGGTGGTGGTGGTGGTGGGTACTGGTGCTTGGCTTGGTAATAGGCACGGGGTGGTGGTGGTGGTGGTGGTGGTGGTGGTGGGTACTGGTGCTTGGCTTGGTAATAGGCACGGGGGGGGGGGGTACTGGTGCTTGGCTTGGTAATAGACACGGGGGGGGGGGGTGGGTACTGGTGCTTGGCTTGGTAATAGGCACGGGGTGGTGGTGGTGGTGGTGGTGGTGGTGGTGGTGGGTACTGGTGCCTGGCTTGGTAATAGGCATGCGGGGGGTCTCTAGTTACTCTTCGGTATATTCTCAGGCAATGACTTGTTCCCACACAGGGTGTCCTTGCCCTCCACCCTCCCTTACAGTGAGCTCTCAGCGGTCACTTCTCCCAGGGGACGTCGGACTTTCCCCTGTCCCTTTGTTCAGTGGGTTTCCCTTCCTTTCCAGCCAGCAGGAAACAATGACAAAACCCGGAGCCGGGCGCTCTCACCCCAAGCGTGCCTTTGAGCTCGGAGCCCCAGAGAACAATGGGGCGGCGTGGCAGCCAGCCTGTTTCCTCTCCCCAGTCTTCGCCCTCATCTCCGGTTTTCCCCGAGGCTGCTTCCTTCTCTGCTTCGTGGAAAGGTGGGGGGTGGGATCGGTGCCCAGGGGACTGCAGGCTCCCCGGAGTGACAGAAGGAGAGAGACCCAGGGTGCTTAAAAAAGGTGGGGAGGGGTAGGGTGGGGTTCAGGGCAGTGTGGGCCCTGGAACTTCTCAGGGTGGGTGTATTTCTGGGTTTTCTTTCCTGGAAACACAGGCAGAGGCTCCAGGCTGCTCAAGTCTTAGTTTTCTTTCCACAGAAACATGGGGGAGATTTTAGGGCCCCTGGGTTCTCAGCCCTGCCCCGAAACCACTCTTGACCAGGTCTCTAGGTTCCAGTTCCTCTCTGTGTTCAGGTCTGCAGACATGTTGGCCTGCCAGGCAAGCTCCCGGCAGCAAAGCATTTTCTTTTCTGGTCGGTTGTGGGGTTTGAACTCATGGCCTGGGCGCTGTCCCTGCGACTCTGTGCTCAAAGCTAGGACTCTACCACTTGAGCCACAAGCCACTTCCGGATTTTGAGTGGTTAATTGGGAATAAGAGTCTCACGGGGACTTTGCTGCCCTGGCTGGCTTTGAACCTCGATCCTCAGATCTCAGCTCCCTGAGTAGCTAGGATTACAGTTGTGAGCCACCAGTGCCCAGCTTAGCAAAGTCTTTTTTTTGTGGGGAGAGAGGTGGGTCCGGTCGTGGGCCTGAATTCTAGGCCTGGGCACTGCCCTCAGCTCTTCAGCTCAAGGCTAGCGCTCTACCACTTGAGCCACAGCGCCACTTCTGGCTTTTTTCTTTTTGCTTATGTGGTGCTGAGGAATCGAACCCTGGGCCTCAGGCATGCAAGGCAAGCGCTCTACCACTGAGCCACCTTCCCAGCCCCGCAAAGTCTTTTTTAATGTCTACCCCATCTCAACTCTCCCCTCTCCAGTGCACCCACATACTCTTGCTTCAGCCTCTGCTTCTGCTAGAGATCTCTGATTGATGTGTGTGTGTGTGTGTGTGTGTGTGTGTGTGTGTATTGTGCTGTGTTGTGTTTGTTGGGGCTTGCACTCAGGGCTTGAATACTGTCTCTGAATTTCTTTTGCTCAAGGCTAGCACTTTACACTTGAGCTACAGAGCCACTTCTGGCTTCTTCTGTGTATGTCGTACTGAGGAATTGAACCCAGGGCTTCATACATGCTAGGTAATTACTCTACCCCTAAGCCACATTCCCAGCCCTGTGATTAATATTTGAGATAGGTCTGGCTTCCTGCCTGGGACCATGCCCCGATTGCATCCATTTCGGGCTTCTTGTCTTCCTGTAGTTATGTACTGACAGATGGACACTGCCACATCCCTCTCCCTTCTCTTTATATGGGGTCTGCAAGCTTTTCTGTCTGGACTGGAACTGCATTCCCAATGGCAGCCTCCCGTGGAGCCAGGAGGGCAGGCATGCACCTCTGCCCTGTTATTGCTGCTTGTATTTTTTAATCCCCCTCCCCCCCCCCCCCAGAACAATGTTCAATCTACAGGCACATTGAGAAGTATGAAGAGTTCCCATTACCCATCCCTGGGGCCCGTACTTGTCAATCCTTCACATGACTGTGACACATTTGTTTCAACTCGTGAGCTAGTAAGGGTGACCTTATCTGGTAGTCATGCTTCCTTGGACTTCTCTGGGCCTCTGATGGAATCTCCCACTGCTGGGTGACCTTGACAGTTGTGAGGAACCCGAGTCTTGGGTTTCATATAATGTCCCTTTGATTTAGTCAATGCCTTCTGCATGATTAGGCTGGGCTTATGGGTTTTATGGGTGGCAAGCTACACAGTAAGTTTATATATGATCCACAGGACTGACTGTTCACCGCTGGTGCTGACCGTGGGCACCTGGCTGAGGATTCTCCACCACAGAGGTAGTCTTCTGTGTTCTAGGAACAAAGTCTCCATGTTCCATCCACATGCCCCCTAGAGGGTTCTGTGTCTACCTCAGTGATTTGAGAATTCCTCTGCCTGGGATTTCCTCTCTCACTGTTACATTGCTCAAACATCTATTTCTATTCGCATGGATTCATGGACTTTGTATTTCAACCCACCACTACTGAATTTTGTTGCTCAAATTATTCTACTTCTGGCCATTGGGAGCTCTTTCAGTGTGGTCTCTTTGACAGAGCCTCATTAATATGGGTGTGTTAGTCAGATTTTAGTTACTGCAACAACAAGAACAAAACCCCCAAATAACAGGGAAAATCAATTTGTAAGAGAGAAGGGTTCACAGTATCAAAGATTTTAGTCTATGGTTGCTTGCCTAATTTGTTTTGGACTTGTAATGAAACAGCCTGGCTCCCTATTGTTTCTTTTTTATTTTCTTTTTCTCCTTTCTTTCTTTCTTCCTTCCTTCCTTCTTTTTTTTTTTTTTTTGGTCCAGTCGTGGGGCCTGAACTCTGGGCCTGGGCACTGTCCCTCAGCTCTTCACTCAAGGCTAGTGCTCTACCACTTGAGCCACAGTACTACTTCCAGCTTTTTTCTTTTTGCTTATGTGGTACTGGGGAATCGAACCCAGAGCCTCATGCATGCAAGGCAAGCGCTCTACCACTGAGCTTCCTTCCCAGCCTCTTTCTTTCTTCCTTCCTTCCTTCCTTCCTTTCTTTCTTTTTTTCTTTCTTTCTTCCTTTCTTCCCTTCTTTCTGTCCTAGGGCTAGAACTCAGGGCCTGGGCACTGTCCTTGCGCTTCTTTTGCTCAAGGCTAGCACTCTACCACTTGAGCAACAGTGCCACTTCTGTCTTTTTCTGTTTATATGGTACTGAGGAATTGAACCCAGGGCTTCATGCATGCTAGGCAAGCACTCTACCACATTCCCAGCACCTTTGTCTTCTTTTCTTTTGTTTTCTTTTTGGTACCAGTCATTGTTCTTGAACTCAAGGCCTGAGTGCTTTACCTGAGTTTTGTACTCAAGGCTATTGCTCTACCACTTGACCATAACTCCACTTCCAGCTTTTTGGTGATTAATCGGAGATAAGAGTCTCATAGGTTTTTCTTCCCAGGCTGGCTTCAAACCTCTATCTTCAGATTCCAGCTTCCTGAGAAGCTAGGATTACAGGCATGAGCCACTGGTGCCTGGCCCCTATGTTGTTTTTGACTGCCAAGTAGCCCTGTGCCAAAACAGCCAGTTAAACTGAGCATGATGGTACAAGCCTAAAGTCCCAACACTTGGGAGAATCTCAAGTTCAAGGCCAGCCTGAGCTACATAGTGGAATTCTACCTCAAACACAAAAACTGAAACAAAAAGAAACCCACACCCAAACAACAAAACAAAACAAAACTCAACCAGCTGAAACACATTAGAAAATTTAATTACAGATTTGGAAGCACTACAGAAAGACCCTATTCTCGGCCTCAAGCCTTGAAAACCCCTCTCCTTGGTGCTGAACTAGTGTCCTGGGGGCTGGGGGAGTGGTGGGGAACGGGGCAGAGGCAGCCTGATGCTCACCTCATCTCCCATGAGTCCAGCAGGCAATTCTACCCCAGACAGCATGGCCTTCTTTCCTCTGCCCCTCCCCTTCCCCCCAGCCCTGCCATCTCCCTCCCTCCTGAGAGGCCAGCTGTGTTAGTTCTTCCAACCCTGACTTGCCTGTTTCCCGCTTCCTCTAGCACTTCTGTGGCTTCCCATCAATTTCCTTCCACATGACCTAGTCTGTTGGAGTCGAAACAATCTATATTGTTTAAGGAAGGCAAGACTTTCCATAAAAGGGTTAGCCTTAAGAAGATCTGGGAATCCCCAGGCAGGCAGGGTGAGAGGGACAAGAGAGGATGGGGGGAAGGGAAGGAGGGGAGGAAGAAAGGAACTGTATTGGAGGGTGAGCTATTTGGGGGAATCAGAGGTGTCTTGACCAGGAGTGTCTCATTAGATGGGGTGCTCATAAAAACTGTTTATTTTTAAAAAAAAATGAGTGAAGCTGGGTATTGGTGGCTCATGCCTATAATCTTAGCTACTCAGGAGACTGAGATCTGAGGATTGTGGTTTAAAGCCAGCCTGGGCAGGAACATCTGTGAGACTCTTACCTCTAACCACTAGAAAACCGGAAGTGGTGCTGTGGCTCAAGTGGCTGAGCACTCGCCTTGCGCTGAAGAGCTCAAGGACAGTGCCCAGGCCCAGAGTTCAAGACCCACAACTGACCAAAAAAAAAAAAAAAAGTGAGGGAGGTGGAGGAAGGCTGAGACAAGGTGCATTTCAATGCTTGTCAGTGTTTGTTCTTACTCAGAAGTGAGATCCAAGCCAGGGGGAGACTGCCATTCACCAAGGGAATGGCTGTGTGTGTTTTCTGGGGGGACAGGCTTTGGATAGTCTAGAATGGCCTTAGAGATGTCTCAGAGGCATACCACATGACCCCCCTCTTCCACCTATACAGGCCTGCGTTCCTGGAGTGCAGAAGGCCAATGCCTTTGCTTTCCAGCAGGAGAGCTTGGTGCCCAACTGGAATGGGTCTTTGGCCAGCCAGGAGGGCAAGAAGAGAAGAGAGGAGCCCTGGTGTCCCCCTCTTGTGGCCTCTAGGCAGGAAGGGCAGACACAGCCACGTTCCACATTCCTCTTCCAGATGTTTTGGGCCAAGGACCAGGTTCATTTATTTATTTATTTTTGCCAGCCCTGGGCTTGAACTCAGGGGCCTGGGCACTGTCCCTGAGCTTCTTTTTGCTCAAGGATAGCACACTATCACTTGAACCACAGCACCACTTCCAGCTTTTTCTGTTGATGTGGTACTGAGGAATCGAATCCAGCTTCATGCATGCTAGACAATCACTCTACCTACCACTAAGCCGCATTCCCAGCCCAGGGACCAGGTTTAAAATGGGAATCACTTGCCATTTTAAGATACTCAGCTGGTTCCCAGGCTCAGCTTACACTCAGGAGGTTTTAGGTGTGTCTTCTGCAAAGGAGGGGACATTCGCATGCAGTGTTTGTGATAAAGGTTGCTTCTCACATTTAAATGACATAAATTCTGTGAAGTTGATAGCATTCTCAGTGATACTTTGATACTTCAGTGAAATGCTACTTTAAGGTTGGATGGTTAGAATTTTATTCCCAAGTGCTGGTAAGAATGGGAGTTGCTCCAGCTAGAGGGGAACAGAACTGGGTCATAACTACTGAAGTCTGAATTACCCACCTACTTGGTCCCAGAAATCCTGCACATGCAAATCTACTCTGTAGAAATTAAAGTGACAGACTGCAAGGTTGGAGATATGAGGATGTGTATTGTTTGCAGTGGCAGAAAACTGAACAATTTGAAGATCCACTCACAAAGAATTGATGGAATCAACCCCAATGCATTTGTACTACAGAATATTACACAGCAATGTAAAAGGATATGTTAGTTTCCTATTGACCCAGAGAGTTTAAGGTGTAATGGTAAATTAAAAAAATAAATGGAAGGGGGTTATGTATTATTTATATATTTCAGTATGGTATACTGAAGTGAAAAAAAATCGTTGCTTTTATATCTGAACACAATAAAGGGGTAGAAGCTATAGCTTCAGGTAGCAAAAAAGGGGTTGGATGAAGAAATAAGAAAAATGAGAGGAAATGAACAAAAATAATTCAATAAAGTTAAGTGAAAGTTTAAATATAAAAGCTCACCTATATTACAATAGCAAATGTGCACAGTTGCATATGCAACTTAAGGCATGGGAGATAAAATCATTGACATAATTGGATATTGGTGTTGTGATTATTTTGGGGGCTTGATTTATGTATCAATCTTGATGTCACTTTTCTAACAGCCATATTTAACAAGCCAGCCTTCGAAGTAGGGAGGTCCAGGGGGGTGGGGGGAGAAAGCAAGGCTTGGTGAAATTATTCATGCTGTAAAATTTTGATTATCAAAAATATTTCAGCGGTATCACATAATGTCTTAACATGTAAGGCATCTGATAGCTGTTGGCTAAAGTGAAAAATCCAGTTCCAAGAAAGTTTATCTCATGATTTCTAAACACAAATCAGGGTGTTCAAGTGCACAGAGGTTCAGTTAAAAACTCCATCAACAGCCAGTGCCAGTTCTCACACCTATAATCCTAGTGACAGGAGGTTGAGTCTGAGAATCATAGTTCTAAGCCAGTCAAGCCAGGAAAGTCCTTGAGACTCTTACTGACAATCAACCACTAAAACAGCCAGAAGTAGAGGTATAGATCAAGTGGTAGGGCTCCTACTTTGAGCAGAAAAAACTAAGGGACAGCTACTGGCCCTGAATTTAAGCCCCAGGCTGGGCACAAAAACAAAAACAAAAACAAAAAGCTCCATAAACAAATGATGCATCCCAATTACTGGGTAGTTGGCTCCTTGTCCGTCTACACCAAGTTTGAGGGGCGACATGGGGAAGTAAGAGGCTAAAGCAACTCTGGAGAGCCGAGCCCGGGGACCTGAGAGGTTGCTTTCACTGCAGATATGAAGCCACTCTGCTTATGCGGCCATGTGTGCCCTCCTGATAAAAAGTAGAGTCAGGACTGAAGGTTAACATCACCCTCTGAGTCTTTTTGTTCTTTATTATCATTGTTACTATTTTTTCCCCAATGGCATGCAAGAACTCATCTATGCGAGCTCTGTGCTTTTATCTTGCTCTCCAACTTAGAATTTCTAGGCTGTGCAGTAGCACTGCGTAACTCTGTCAGCAGGCCAGCAGGAGCCACTAGGCCTGATCCTCTGCCCACCCTGCCCAGGCCCAACCTCTTAGCCCTAAGTCCTTCCCTGCTGGCTTTCCTTGGTAACCTTGAGGACTGAGAGTGTGGGACCTCAGCACAAGAGGTGCTGCTTATCAACATTCATGCGCTAAGCTATTTGAAATAGACTGTAGGGCAATGCAGATACATTGTCCCCATATAGATAGATGCTCTTCAGAAGAGAATAGATAGCCTGTGTTGTGGTTCACACCTGTAATCTCACCACCGAAAAGGCTGAGGCTGGAGTATCTTGAGTTAAAAAGGGAGCCAGAGGGAGGAAGGAAGGAAAATGGAGAGCAGGGTCTGTGAAAGTAAAGTAAAAACTATTAGAAGAGGAGAGAAGAGAGAGAGAGAAACAGAGAGGGGAGAGAGAGAGAGAGGGAGGGTGGGGAAAGGATTTCACCAACTCCTGGGGGTCTCGAAAGATCCAGCAATCCTGTGAGAACATCTTACAACATTGGGTTCATTCTATTTGTTTATTTAAACAATATTCATATTTTTAATACAGATTTCACTTGTAAGGTGGTATATGAGCTTTTGCTTAAGACATGAGTGTTCTCGGCTGGGTTTTCTACAGCTGCTCTTTCTTTTTAGCCGTGTTGAGGAGTCATTACATTTTGTCACAGAGGGGTTTACAGAGATGAAATTTCTTGCCAAAGTGGAATCAAGGACCCATGAGGTCATGAAGGCACTGTAGAGACTTGCAGTCAGACGCAGGCACACGGGGCTAGGAGAATATGCTAGAAGCAGACATGTTTTTCTTAAAGATACAGACTTGTAGACTATTAATAGAAATCAGGCTATTTGAAGACACACTATGATTTTTTCCCCCTCGTAAATGCATTATTAAAGACAATTGCAGGGACAGGAAGAGTGAACACTTAACTTTCTTGTAAAAAAGAATCTTGGCACCCTCGACATATCTTGCTATAAATCTGGTCTCTGGACATTAGCTTCCCACTTCCTCACAAGCTGACTCTGGGCCTCTAACTTTATTTCGACTTTAATTTCCTTCCTTCCTTATGCTTTACTTGAATGATAAGGATTAAAGTAAACTTCCACCTGACAAGGTATCAAAGAACCCAGCTGTTGGCTCTGTTCTTTGTATTTATTTCTGGGAGTGGACCACCCATGATTTCAGGAGTGATCCATGTGGCTAGCTAGGTTCCATGGGGAGCCCTACGGGGAGCTCCAGGACACACTGGGGTGGGGGTGGGGAGTGGGGAGCTTGGGTGGTCACTCCCAGCTCTGCCACATACTGGCTGTGGGACTCTGGGGAGCAACTGCAGCTCCCAGAGCCTCAGTGTCCCCATCTGTAAAATGGGAATAACTCCCATTTCAAGGAATTAGGAAGAAGAGTGAAGTGCTTGGCACAGTTCCTAGTGGGTTCTTTTTTTTTTTTTTTGCCAATTCATGGGACATCTATTGCCTAATGTGTTGTGCCAGGCACCCAACTATGGGGGAGGTGTGTGTGTGTGTGTGTGTGTGTGTGTGTGTGTGTGTGTGTGAACACAATGAGGAGCTAGCCACACCGACCCAACCTCCACGGAGCCGGTGACCCACAGACGCTTGCTGGCCAAATACAAACGCCTAGGAGGGTGAACACGAGGGCCGTGGGCCCTGAAGAGCTGTCTCTCGCTGCTGTTTGGGACAATCAGGACTGCAGGTGTGTGGGGCCATCAGGGTCGGGGGGAGAGGAAGGGGGGTGGAGACATTGGGGTGCCTCTCTCCACATTTGCAAGTTTTAGGTCAGGATGAACCACATGCAAAGCAGCAGGCCGAGCATGGCGGGCCGGTTCACGATGGCCACCGGGCAGCCCTCGCCTCTCTCCAGCCAGAAATCACACTGCTTGACGGCGCAGAGCTCCTTGGTCAGCCGCCACAGCACCCGCTGGTAGAGCTTGTCCTGCTTCTCCCGGGCGAAC